CAGATACAGGAGGTAGCTCATTTGTTTTCAAATTATCCCCTCAGTTACATGTGGGCAAACCCTTTATTTTCAAATGGATTTGCCCAGGTCTAAATGTAGTAAACAATTGTCTTGTCAATGCAGACAAACTAACAGAATCCTGAGCCATCTCTCCTAGCTGTTCTGGCTCTGCAGGATTAACTGAGGTAAAAGGCTTTAATTTTTTATTTTTGTCACTAAAGTAAGGAGAAATGACTCTGAATACACTCAAGAAACAGGCCTGCCGAGTGAGAAGGTGCCCTTTTCACATTGCCACTTTTCAAAGTAGAACTGGTGTCAATTCCTCCTCAACCTTAATACCCTCTCTTTAAAGATTTTTAAACTATGACATCAGAAGGAGTTTTGACATCCCGTGGTTAGTGTTTAGTGAAGAACCGAGATGAGAACGCTAAATTCTCTGATACTTAATTCAAATTTCTCCACAAAACATCAACATCTAGTTAACGCTGCCCACATGAGACTCTCCCTAATGTAAATCCACAAAAGCAGGGAAAATAAAGAATGAAATTATTCCTACAGTGTTACCTGCCCAGCTACACATCAGTCCCAACCCCTCCTGCATATCTCTCCACCTCCATCAAAGCCAGCAGAACACAGGCATCCTTAACTAGGACTATTAATTTGCTTGTCATTTACTTACTGTCAATGTTGGCGACTTGGAAATATTGTAATAAAATGATGCCTGTTTATGGGTGAAAACTGAAGAAGTGTGTGTACAAGTGTGTTCACTTAAAATTGTTTTGGTTTGAATTCGTGAGGGTTGGGAGTACTCCATCCGTCAGAGGATCAGGTCATTCCCTTACCAGGGATTTGGCAGTCTCAGGGTACCTCTTGGACTCACCAGTAGCTCTTTTTTTTTTTTTTTAAATCTGTATTTAGCTCCGAGGTTGAGCTATTTCCTTGCTGATGTAGACCTTGTCACAGTCATGCATGCTTAGTTCCAAGTGGGCTAAGGGCCATGTTCTCTATTGGAGCCACCACTCTTGAAAACCACTTGGATGCTTCAGCTACTGTTGAATGTGGCAACTTGCCTGCCTAGTGGATTAGGTTTATGTGGGCACCTGTGTTCCATGCACTGCACTGGTTTACAGTGCGCCTCTGAGTGCAATTCAAGGTGATGGTTGTAGTCATTAAAGCTCTACGTGACTTGAGATGTGATTGTCTTTAGAGACCATCTCATTCTTCATGCACCGTAATCACAGCTGGTTTTAAGTCAAGCAGCTCTGCTGAGAGTCACTAGTAGTGAATTTCTGAGGTCAAGCAAGTGTTCTCAATGGACTTATTTTGTCAAAGCCCACGTTAGCTAACTCAGCCTTATTGTAAGACCTCATCTGTTTGGCCAAAGCTTTGTCTGATCTGAGGCATTTCACTCCCCACACCCTGTGTCTCATGCCTTTGTTAATTGATGCTAATTTGGTATGTAATGGTCTGAGATGCCACAGCAGTAAGCAAACTGGAAATTCTTTAAAGAAAGCATGTTAACAACCTATTTACTGGAGTGTGTAATGTCATCATGTGTCTGGCTCAAAGTGGTAGGCAAAGTGCACTCCCCCATTGCTTCAACGGTCAAATGCATCAGACCCAAATATGCAGAATGATAACAAAGAGGAAGGGCCAATTTTAAAATTCCAGATGAGCAGAATCCATAGGACTTTTGGCAGATTGTCATTGTGGACCTTGGTAATGCAGAGGTGGGGTGCTAGCTTTTGTGTATGTGCACTTCTGCTAGGCTGTATCAAACATGCTTATGTGTCTTAGGGCTTCCTTGACTGGATGAAGTAGTGGAGCTGGTCTTTCAGTTGATGACGCACAAACCTGTGTTTTTTTTGGAGCCAAGACTTGTGAATTCTTTTCCCTAATGGCCCAAGGGGGCTGTACTGAATGTATATGGCCACTCATTGTTACAGCTTCTGGATACATATGGAATTCTGTAAAGAAAAAAAAATAGCCTCACTCTAGAATTTTCTACCAGACTAATTTGTTTGATTATGTAATACTATTTATCTCACTTCCACCTTTTACTTTTCTTGGTGAACGAATATACAGTAAAGAGAAGCATCTCCACAAGCAAGAGCATCTCTACCCTGTGGCCCACAAGTGAACTATAGAATTACAAAATAAAAGGAATACTAGCGCCGATGAGACAGTTGCAAAACAAGTTTGAGGAACATTGGACTTTAGCCATTAAGCTCCTTGTAGCATGTTGGAAACAAAGACAAACAACACTGATCTCAAGCTAAAATTATACTGTACCATTTTTTTTATATGTTGTGTCTAACTCCTCCACCTAGCAAAATCTAACCGGCATCTTCCCAGTCACAGGCTACATTCCTACATATGCTTAAGTAGGAATAGCACAGTGATGAACAGACCATACGATATGTAGCAGAGGACTGGCCAGTCACTAGTTTGGAATCATGCTGTATGAGGATGGTCTAGACATAATTTGTCACACTGAACATTTTGATCTGGCTTTCCATTTGTGAAATAAGCCAAGTGAATAAAGCAATAGGAACACTGTTCCATGTGGTTCTGTGGTGGGGTGACAACTCACCGGTGCGGCGCCTCCTGCTGGTCGTCCTGGGAATTAGCTCTTCCCGCCTGGAGTGCCCTCTGCAGGCCAGTGTCTCACCTACCGCTGGTGCCGTGTCCCTCCCAGACCCGGTGCCCTTTGCCTTGGGGTTCTGCCCCAACAGTAACCCCCAATCTGGGTCTCCCCTCCCTGGGGAACCCCAACCCTCTAAATCCACCTTGCCTTAGTGGCTATTGCCAGTCATCGTCTAGCCCCCGCTCCCTGGAGCAGACTTCAGTCTGTAAACCACTCATCGGCAAGGGGGTTAGGACCTGCTGCCTTTGCCTGTCTCTGGGCTGCCCCTCTGCAGCCCCAGTACCTATTTGTAGACCTTTAACTAGGCCTACAGCCTGGGATTTTGCTAGGCTGGAGCTCCCCAGCTCCCTCTGCCCTTCCCCAGCACTGCTCCACCTCAGGTGCCCTTCTCAGCTCCCAGGCAGCCAGGTCCTTCTCTCTCCAGAAGCTAGAGAGAGAGTCTGTTCCTGAGCTGCTGGCTCAGAGCCCTTTTATAGGGCCAGTTGCAGCCTGATTGGGGCGTGGCCCCAGCTGTGGCTACTTTCCCCAATCAGCCTGGCTTTTCCTGCTGCTTTAAGCCCTTCAGGGCAGGAGCGGGGTGACCACCCCGCCACAGGTTCCCATCGAAAAGTAAATTCTTTTGGAGGTATCGGCAGCTGCCTCTGGTCCCAAGGGTCCATTCCAGCACAGAGCTTCCTGTGTAAAAGGTCAGGAGGGGTGACATTACAGTGACTTTGTGCTACCTGGGGATTCCCTCATATAGCAGGTTGGAGGAACGGCCCTAAGTATTTTGTTTCTTAGGCCTGGTGCACATTACAAAATTACATTGGCTTAGCTACATCACTCAGGGCTGTGAAAAATCCACATCCCTGAGCATCATAGTTAAGGTGACCTAACCCTCAGTGTAGACAGCACTAGGTGGATGGAAGAATTCTTCTGTTGCCCTAGCTACTGCCTGTTGGGGACGTGGGTTACCTATGCTGACAGGAGAACCCTTCCTGTTGGCGTAGGCAGTGTCTACACTGAAGCGCTACAGTGGCACAGCTGCCACACTGTAGCTGTGCCATGGTAGCGTTTTAAGTGCAGACATACACTTAAGTGCAAACATGAATACAAATGTTGCCATTGTAGTCTCATTTCTCAGGCTCCATAGGGTATGACTATAATGGAATTAACTTTGTTGTTACATAGACAACAAATCCCACAAAAGTCTGTGGTGTATATGATTTGCAATTAGTTACCATAAACCAATTCTGCTCTGAAGGAATATGATGAGGATTTCAGAATATACAGTATATAGAATATACAGATATGCTAACTGTTCCTTCTCAGTACAGCCCAGTATATGCACTGGCACTTTTTTGAAAATTAATTAAAGTTCTCTTTTCTTAAGAAATACAATCATAGTTTAAAGTGAATAGGTCAGATTTTGCTCTGAGTTATAGGAGAGTAACTCTGGAGTAACCACTGATTTTCATGACGTTCCCCTGGATTTACACCACTGTAATTGAGAGTAGAATTAGAATTCACTGTTGTTGAAAGTTTGAAGCAGAAATTGGCTCCCTCTTGAAATGTTTGCTCCATCATATGTTGTTTCGTTATGGTAGAGTTGCTCATGAGTGCTGCCATTAAGTTTTAGTTAAGCATTTGTTTTAAATAACTAGCAGCCCAGATTCATAGATTTTTAAGGCCAGAAGGCTCATTAGATTATTTTATCTGACCTCGTGTGCAATGCATGCCATAGAATAATCCATTTGCTCCTCTATTCAGCCCAATAATTTGTGTTTGACTAAAGCATATATTTCAGAAAGGCATCCAGTCCTAATATGAAGACTGCATATAGGGCTGGATCCTTCCCCCTTTCCCTTTGATGGCAAGACTGCCATGGAGTAGGACCAGTCCCTCAAACCATAATGAATGATGGGGATTTTTGCAAAGAGGTTTGTGTTTTTAAAAATGTATAAATATAAAACTGATCAAATTTTGGGCCACACTTATCTTGTCATCCTCTCTTTTTAAGGACAGTGGAAAAGGCAGAGACAGAGACTGCATCCAACACACATTTGTGACAAATATAACAAAGGCCATGCATGAGTTGGGAAATATGTAAAGACCCGATTATTGGGCTCTCATTGTTGATTTTTATATCTATAACGACACCACTTCTTTTTACATATGTATATGGTATGAGTTAATCAGCATGAAACAGCCATCTTTGTCCTCTGACAAAATGTAAATCATATAATCCAACTATTTCCCTAGGACCATATTACCTGGTAGTATTAATAGATTTGAGCACATCGATATGCTCATGGCAGCCTGTTCTAAAAGTGATGCATGTCTAATTCGAAACATCTGTTCTGTTATCTTACAGGATACCATGTCATATCCACATTCAAAAGGAACCCCCTTGAGCAGGCCTTCAGAATACCCAGGGCTCAGACGACCTCAAATCACCTGATAAACCAGTACTGGATAACTGTCAGTCATAAGGCTCCAGCCATGCTCTATGACTTCTACTTGAGATTAACAGGAAGAAAGCCCAGGTGAGAAGTTGCGCTACTCCATATATTATCATACCTAAAAATATCATAGAAGAGAAGGGCTCTAACATGTCCTGAGAAAATCAGCCCTACAGTATCTGCACTCGCTTTAAAGTTCTCGGTTGTCTTCCTTTCTCCAGTACTACTCTTGAGCCATTTACTCAAGAAGAAAGAACTGAACCCCATTTGCTCACCCCAGCGTACGGTTCCCACCTCTCTCAGCTTTCATGGGAGAGTCTTAGATTTTCAATGAGACTCAGCTCCATAGAGTTGGTCTCAGAATTTATGGTTTCCCAAGCTGCCAGAAGGTCAGAAGTGGCCTCTCCCTCTGGTCCCACTACCAGAGCCCCGCAAAGAGGAATCAGGTCAAGCATAATCATCTAGTGAGGGTAGACAAAAGGGTGGTGCCTCAGTCCTTTACTTTTATTGTCTGTGCTTAAACCTGCCCCTGTTGCCATGCATACTGCAAGCTTTAGATCACTGCAATATCCTGATGTTAGTTCAGTCTATTGTGAAATTGTGTCAATGCATGAAGACTCAGGCTTGGCAATATTCAGAGTGTTACCACACAGTTATTTTGACCTGTAGGTCAGTGACATGTCCAGCAGGTGACAACCCGCATACAACAATCTGACAGTTGGAAAGGTGTGATGAGTGTTTGAGTGTTCGTAAGCTCTGGACTGCATTTAAAAAGAACGTTTACACTTACAGATGATTTCTGAGCATTGGCAACGGTGTAGCTAAGCAAAATGAAGGCATCCATGACCCTTTTGTGGGGGACTCCTGTGTAAATAATATAACTCAGCTTCTTTCCTGCTTTATTACTTGTTTAACAATCACAAAAGAAAGCTTGAACAGTGGACCAGGCCAGCTGCTTTGGCCCACCCAGGCAGCGTATAGCTGGTTTAACCAGCCATCTGTAGGGAAATCCCTGGATGGCGTGGAGCTGCTCTAGCAGCTGTGATGTTACCCTACCCCCTGACATGTCTGAAGGAAATGGGGCATACACTTAGAGCCCCAGTTATTCCCAACTTCAGGAATGGCCCCTAGGAATCATAGAAAACTGGGCATAAATTAGAGCAGTGCAAGAAGCCTCTAGGCCAGTGGTGGGCAACCTGCAGCCCATCAGAGTAATCTGCTGGCGGGCCGCCAGATAGTTTGTTTACATTTGCACGGCTGCCCACGGCTCCCAGTGGCCGCGGTTCACCGTTCCCGGCCAATGGGAGCTGCGGGAAGCGGCGTGGGCCGCAGGGACGTGCTGGCCGCCGCTTCCCACAGATCCCATTGGCTGGGAACGACAAACCGCGGCCATTGAGAGCCATGGGTGGCCGTGCAAATGTAAACAAACTGTCTGGCGACCCGCCAGTGGATTACCCTGATGGGCCGCAGGTTGCCCACCACTGCTCTAGGCACTGTAATGCAAATAAATAACAGTAATAAGTGCTAAATATAGTTATTGCTGGTGTTACAAATGATGGCCCTTTTCAGCAAGATTGTTGCCACTAAGTCCATAAATTATAAAGCCAGAGGGACCACTGTGATTATCTAGTTTGACGTCCTACATAATACAGGCCATAAGACATCCCTGCAATAATTCTTGTAGTAGATGCAGAAATGTCAGCTATAATCCTAAACTTTAATTTCAAATGCAGTTTGGAATTTATTCAGGCTGAGAAGTACCTCCCACCCCCTGAAGTCTCAGATCTCTGAGCTGGGCAAACAGGACACAGCCTTGCATCACTGAGTATTCCACTGACCCTCCCCCAGCTGCCAAACTGTCTCCTTACCCCTCTTCTCCACCTCAGACAAGTGCATATGTAACCCACATGCCTCCTGGGAGTGGTGTTCTGTCCCATCTAGTGGCACTGAGACCACTTAGAGAGAGATTAATGAGTCTGCTCTATAATCTTAGCTAAGGGCCATATGGCTTTTAGCTCATACAGAAGAGGCTCATGCACTAAACTCCAGAGGTTCCCGGTTCGATCCTGCCAACGACAGGGGTCTGTTGGTGTTACACATAGCCTTGACTTCCTTCTCACCACCCATTGCAACATCTAAATCCAAACCTTCCTCCATCCCATCAGTTTGAATTCTCTTATTGTTCCTCAGATGCCTCTTCCAACTTCCACACCTTCAAGTAGTTCTTTTCCTTCACACAGCATCATGGTGCCTTCTCCTCTATCCCTGATGCTACATCTTCTGCTGGTCTCCTGCTCCCCAGCAAGTGCCCAGATGATTCAGATTCCCCTTTACCCACTATGGCACCCACCCATAATCTTCCCCCCACAAACACTCAGTCCTAACTTCTTAGCCATCAAAATGCATTCACTTTCCAGGTGCCAGCCAGAGTTAACCTGGGTTGAATTTTTACTCCCTGTCAGCTGTTTGGTGGCTTGTGTGGAAGGATTTAGTGGTCAATGTTCAACTCCCTGTGGACAGGAGTCCCCAAAACCCAGCCTCACCGTTGTTATCATCTTCAACAGAGAGGCCAAAGAACAAAGAATGTAGGCCATATTTACAAGATGGGGGACTCTATCTTGGGAAACAGTGACTCTGAACAAGATTTGGGGGTTGTGATGAATAATGAGCTGAACATGAGCTCCCAGTGTGATGCGGTGGCCAAAAGAGGCAATGCAATCCTTGGATGCATAAGCAGGGGGATCTCAAGGAGCAATAGAAAGGTTATTTTACCTCTGTATTTGGCACTGGTGTGATCACTGATGGAATACTGCATCCAGTTCTGGTGTCCACAATTCAAGAAGGATGTTGATAAATTGGAGAGGTTTCAGAGAAGAGCTGTGAAAATGATTAAAGGATTAGAAAACAGGTCTTCTAGTGATAGACTCAAGGAGGTCAATCTATTTGGCTTAACCAGGAGAAGGTTAAGGGGTGATTACAGTCTATAAATATCTACACAGGGTACCAATATTGAAGAATGGGCTCTTCAGTTTAGCCGAGGAAGGTATAACACAATCCAATGGCTGGAAGTTGAAATTAGATAAAAAAAAATCTATGCCTTATTTCCAGTCTGAATTTAACAGTGAGAGTAATTAACCACTGGAACAACTTACCAAGGATTGTGATAGATTCTCCATTGTTGACCATTTTAAAATCAAGATTGGATGTTTTTTTTTTTAAAAGATATGGTCTAGGAATTATTTTGGGGAAGTTCTATTGCCTGTTTTTTATGCAGGAGGTCAGACTAGATGGTCACAATGGCCCCTTCTGGCCTAGGAATCTATGAATTTTTCCTCTGGAAAAGGAACTCTGAGAGATAGCTACCAGACTCACAGCAGCTATGGTTGCATGACTTTTACAGAAGTCAAGAATCCTTCACTCAGAGTGCTCTGACACCAGGCCCTTCCCATTTAAGAAAGGGGACATCATTTAGAGCACCTGAACTGTTCAAAACTCCTGCAATAGTACACAAGGAGAGAGGGGGTCTGAAAGATACCTATGTTATAGGTATTATGTGTGTCCTAGGTTATAGGACTTAATCAGTTTGTTACTGTTATTTGGTTCAAACTAGTAAGTTAGGCCATGGTCCTGCAACTGGCTCTGTGTAGGTACAGCCTCATGCTCATGGTGAGTCTCACTGAAGCCAATAGTGATCTTCTCAGGCACCAGGGTCTGTCCCTGAGGAGCCAGCTACAGGATCAGGGCCTCAGTTGAAATTGTTATATACTTGCTAAGCAAGTTATCAGCCTGCTGAACAGAAGAGGAGGCTGCTGGATGGCTCAATCCCAAAACTCAGCTTCACAATAACTAGCAAAAGCAACTAAGGCATTAAGCTCCATGGAGAAACCTATTATGTAAAGTAGGAGAGCCCTGCATGAAACTCCAATTTTCAGATAAGAGCAAGTTCTCCTTATTTCATTATATGTGCTGCTGTGGCTCTGCACGGCTCCGACACCTCTGCACTGTTCCAGGATGATGAAGATCTTCAATCGGCTGCACAAGTCTATGATGCTTCTGGAATATTTCACCTGTCAGTCCTGGGAGTGGTCTTCAGAAAATATGAACATGTTAATGACCCAGCTCAGTCCAGAGGACAGGAGAGTAAGTATACCTATTGCTAAATTGCTCATATTCTCAACCACAGTTGTGTTTACCTCCAGTCTTCCAGCCTATCATATTTGGGTGAGCCTTCGAATAGCATCTTCCAGGGATGGTCAGCATTAAAAACACTTCCTTGAAAGAAAGAGAAATAATTTATTTTCCCCCAGTTTTGTTAATTAGACTTGTACAAGCCTTCAGTTTCGTTTAGGAGGATGTTCTGCTTCTGCAATGCAGCAAAAAAAGGGATGGACCAATCACTGAAGATGGCAACTCGGTGTTTACTCACCCCACCACTGTTCACTTCATGAAAGGGCTTCTCAATAGCTTCCTGCCGGTACTAAAACCCACAACCCTGTGGCACCTTAATCTTGTCCTCTCCACCCTTCAACCCAATGGCAACGTGCTCCCTCTCACATCTCTCCATGAAGGTAATCTTCCTCGTGGCCATCACTTCGGCTCTGCAGGTCAGCGAACTAGCTGCCATGATGGATTACCCCCTTATCCCCACACTTACACTGTCATAAAGACAAGGTTTCCTTGCGACTGCATCCCACGTTCCTCCCAAAGGTGGTCTCAGAGTTCCACCAGAACCAATCTATCCACCTCCCAGTCTTCCGTCCTAAGCCACACGTCTTCCCTGCAGACAGTCTTCCCTCCATTCCCTCAACGTCCGTGATGCGCGAGCATTCTACCTCCACAGAACTTATGCCTTTCGCATGTCAACAAGACTGTTAATTTCCATTGCTGACTGATTCAAGGGCCAAGCCCTCTCCTCCCAACAAATCTCAAAATGGGTATCCAACTGTATCTAAGAATGCTACACACTTTCCAACATCCCGCCGCCTGACAGAATTACAGTGCACTCGATGCAGGCGCAAGCAGCCACATCCAGTTCCCTAGCAGATGTCTCCTGGCAGGACATCTGTCGGGCCACGACGTGGTGTTCAGTACATACCTTCACCACCCATTACAGTATCACCCAAGAGACGGCTGAAGACACTGCAGTGGTCCATGCCATATTGCAGGCTGTGCTACCTCTTGCATCTTGGCACCCATATCCATGCTGATCACTGCTCGATACTCACCCACATTTGGAATACATATAGGGACCACAACACGAAGAAAAAGATGTTACTTACCTGTCCAGAGACAACCTGTACCTGCTGAGAGTGGGGGACAGAGTGAGGGCAGTAGCTTCAGCAGATGTTACTGAGTCTGCTCAATCCATGTGAGCATGCTCAGTACAAGCCAAGCAGCATCTCTGGGGGGACACGTGCAGGGGCGGCTCTATGTATTTTGCCGCCCCAAGCACGGCAGTCAGGCAGCTTTCGGCAGCGCACCTGCGGGAGGTCCGGCTGGTAACGTGGATTTGGCGGCATGCCTGCGGGAGGTCTTCCGGTCCCGCAGCTTCGGCATACCTGCCGCCGAATTGCCGCCGAAGCCGCGGGACTGGCGGACCTCCCACAAGCATGCCGCTGAAGGCTCCCTGACTGCCGCCCCCACAGTGACCGGCAGGCAGCCCCAGGCACGCACTTGGTGCGCTAGTGTCTGGAGCCACCCCTGGACATGTGACCCTGTGTGCCTCCCACCCACACGTCACCTCTGCCTGTAACTGGAGGTTCTTCGAGATGTGTGGTCCCTATTTGTAGTCAAATACCTGTCCTCCGTCCCCTTTGCTGCGGACTGATCTACTCAGCGGTAAGAGAGTGACTGAAGAGGCATTGACCCGCATGACCGAATATAACCTCGCCTGAGATGCAAGACGACTCATGATGCATGTGCCGGTCAACGGACACTGCTACAAAAATCTTTCGGATCCGGCGCATGGCACACGTTTGGAATACAAATAGGGACCACATATCTTGAATAACCTCCAGTTACAGGACAGTAACCTCTTCTTTCCATTGATGTCATTGGGAGTTGGACAGGGCTGTAAGTACAATATTTTAGAAAATAGTACAGTATCTTAGCCAGAGAAAACACACAGTGTGAACAAGTTCTTGTTAGATTTGAGCAGCCGTAGAGCAATAACTGAAGGATGTCAAAATCGAATGTACTCTTTGCTGGTTTTAAGTACTTCTGCATATGAGTGGGGCAGTGATGGAAAGATAAGCAACAGGGCTGAAGGAATACAATGAGCAGATCTAGGATGAGTTTCAACGTACCTGTGGGGCTGTATCATATACTTGTGGAGAGATGGGGACTCAGTGATCAAATAAAATTGGTCTAGTCCCTTGTGAAATATTCATGCAGATCCCCAGTGTAGAGATGTGGTACAAAGCCTCACAAGTCATGGAACTCCTACACTGTGGATCCAAAGAGGCAGCAAATTCCAGGTATAGCTAAGTAACCTTCCTGTTTCTATGGCCATACCCAGAATTCTCTTCTAGCTCACAGCCATGCTGATGCCAGTGCTCTTGTACCAAGCTGAAAGGGTTGGGTGGGCTTGAGAGTGAAGAGTTCTTTTCTGCATATCTTCCTTGAAAATATTTCTGTGGCGTCACATCAGCCATCTTGTTATTGATTCATAAAACCCTGCTTCACAGTTAACAGTTCTCTCTGCAAAGAAAGCACTTCCTCTTCATTCTTTTTTGATTAAGCTGTTTCTTCGCTCTGTTAGACCTATAATCCCCTGAGAGCATTGCTGACACCTTTTCCATTTAAAATCTTGATCTATGAAACTAAATGTCTTTAGCAAGGCAATCAGACAAATTGATGTCAAACAACTGAATAAGCAATTTCTTGGATTTCTGGAGCCACAGATGCCAAGAGAGAACATAGCTCTGCCCAGCTGAATTACTGACACAGGGGGACCTGTTGATTCAGTGGCTGGTCCATTTATTTTCATTAAAAATATAATCCCAGTATGACACCAATGAACAGGGACTTGTTTTGATGTATTCTCAATTTGCAGTCTCTGTTCTAGCAAGGTGGTATTTTTTGTGTGTGTGTGACTCTACATATACGGATAACTGCATGCAAGACCGTTGGCAGGAAATATCTAGTTTTTTAAAGTCGGAGGGTTGTGAGTTGAAAGCAGAGTCAGGTGACTAATGAAGAGTAGTATGATAGAGTTGGAGTAACATTTTTTTCATTGTATCAGAGGGGTAGCCGTGTTCGTCTGGATCTGTAATTAGCGACAAAGAGTCCTGTGGCACCTTATAGACTAACAGAAGTACTGGAGCATAAGCTTTCGTGGGTGAATACCCACTTCGTCAGACGCATGTTTGATGAAGTGGGCATTCATCCACGAAGGCTTATGCTCCAGTACTTCTGTTAGTCTATAAGGTGCCACCGGACTCTGTCATTTTTTCATTGCACATTTCTTCATTGAATCTTGTGGTTTGGAAATTTTTAGTCTTTGTTCCGAGTGGAGCTCAGTTCAAGATCACAGCATGAAGTTGTACAGCTTTACTCTTACTGCAAATCCAACTGTTGCATTTAATTCACTTTCTTTTTCTTTAATTCCAGTTATTCAACTTCGATGTGCGTCAGCTGCATTGGTCGGAATACATTGAAAATTACTGCATAGGAGCAAAGAAATATTTGCTGAATGAGGACATGTCTGGGATTCCTGCTGCAAAGCAGCACTTACGAAAGTAAGCCATACGTGGTCAACTGTGGCAACAGCCCCCAGCTGCCTTGGGTAGTTGTATAGAAGGGTTTTTAAGGCAAGGGTTTCCATTTTAAATGGAATGAGACAATTCCTGGGACGAGGACAGATGAATCGTACCTGTGTCAAGTTGAGAATGATCTCATGTGAGATAAAAATGGCATAGCTCACTATTTACATCAGCTGAGGATCTGGCCTAATATTTCCTTGCCCATCTTGTGAAGAAAAGGGGGTTTGGGATGGCCCCATAGTCTAGCAGCAGCACATTATACTATCATGGAAGTAGTCAGTCCTCCTCACCAGTGAGTTATTAGTCAACCTCCCCCCACCCCCACCCCGCCCGCAAAGTGGCAGAGAGGGGTTACAGATCTGTTGCTGCAGAAGATCCAAAGGTTCATTCAGGACAGGAAAAAATAAAGGGGCGAGGAGCAGCTTTGGATTTAGGGAAACTCCTAAAGGTTGATGACAATTTCCAGGGGTTGTGTAAAACTTTAAAACAGAATCTAGAAATACACTTGTACTGGAGATTGGGGAGATTTTACCCTCACTCCCTGTCTCCCATTCCCAAATAAAATAGAGGCTTCAAAGTTGGATTTGGTATTTTGGAACTAGAACCTATAAAGTTCTAAACAGGGCTGGCTCCAGGCACCAGCCTAGCAAGCAGGTGCCTGGGGCGGCCAATGAAGGGGGGCGGGGGCAGCACGTCCGGCCGTTCGGCACATCCAGCCATTCGGCGGCGGGGCCATCACTCCCTCTCGGAGCGAAGGACCTGCCACCGAATTGCCGCCCTAGAATGAAGCGGCGGTAGAGCTGCCGCCGCTTGCGACGGCGGCTTTTTTTTTTTCCCCCCCTCTCTCTGCTTGGGGTGGCAAAAACGCTAGAGCCAGCCCTGGTTCTAAAACTTTCTAAATTAAAGATCTTGGGTTCCTTTTTTCAAATTAAAAAAAGTGTAAGCCCTGCTCATCTCCTCCAGACCAAATACTCGGAAGTGCCAAAGAACATGCAAAGGGGCACAGAGGCACTTCTGCTGGAGGACCAGTGTTATGCCTTTCAAGGAACAGCACTTTTCCCTCTGGAAAACACTTGCTGCTGTGAAACTACAAGTGTAAGACAGGTTGTTGCTATTGCTGGGATGTCACAAATGAATCATAAGTTTGAGTAATTTTTAAAGATGTATTCCTAGTTTCTGAGTGCTTCTATAATAAATCAGGAACATATAATCTACATAGTAACCCAAATGGATAGCATAAACCCCATCACTACCAGTACCAGCCAAAATATCAAAATAAAGCGCGCACACACAAAAGACTAAGCAATCTTGACCAGGCTAGGTCACAGCTAGTTTGCTTTTGTCCTGATACTCATCTTGGCCAGACACTGGGAAAGTAAGGAATGTGTAGAATTGTAGAATCTGTGTTTGACAAAAGGTAGACACAGAGATTAATATAATCAGCATAATAATGACATTTTAGCCTAAATCATCTCACAATTTCCCCAAATGGCTTGACATGCACAATGAACAGGGGTGGTGGGAAAAAAACAGAACCCTGCGAGACCCTGAAAGTGGACCATTGGGGAGGATGAATCATTGCCCGACATTACCTGTCTGAGATGTTGCAGCCAGGGAGGAACAAACCCACTGAAGGGGCATTTTGTCAATCCCTGCAAACATTCCATAAGCCAGTCACCAAAACCTCATTGTCGGCGTTATTAAAAGTTGCTGACACGCCAGCGTAAAACATGGACAATAGGACATCTCTTAGTCCATTCCTAGGCAATTGACTGTCAATGTTAATTCGGTCTCAGTTCTGGTCTGAAATCAGAATGCATGGAATCAAAGACATCTGGGGCATGCTGGTGTAGCTGAATCTATCACATCACTGCATTCATTGCATTATAATTTCAGTGCATGGTCATGTAGGAGGCAAAGGCTTTGGGACACAAAGGAGACACCTGTTTAGGCACCAATATCCTTGCTAATAAACAGAAAAGGCAGGAGGGCCACATCATTCCACTTTATAAATAAGATCACTTTAAAAGTGTTCTGCACTGCAGAAATTCCTCTTTAAGTTTGATCCAAAGATGTTAAGGCTGCATCTCAGTATTGTTTTAAGTAATTTTTCTTAATGTCCTTCTCTTTTATTTGTCAGGCTAAGGAACATCCAGTATGCATTCAACACCACCCTCCTTGTGATCATCTGGCGCATTTTCATTGCAAGGTCGCAGATGGCTCGCAACATCTGGTACTTCGTTGTGAGCCTTTGCTATAAGTTCCTTTCCTATTTCAGAGCATCAAGTACCCTCAGGCACTGAAATAGCCAGTCAGCAGCCAAAAGGACCTTCCTCTCCTCTAAACAGCGTTTATGGGCATCTGGGCTTGAAAGTAGCAGGGAGTCCACCACAACCAACAGCTGCCTGCAGTCAATGTGCCCTGTTACTATGATCACAATTATCTTTTTACTAATGCTTTAATATGTGACCATCTTTCTTCCATAGGACCATGCTAATTTTAAAGCCATAACTGAAGCTTTAGGCATGGGTTATTCTGGGTCTTTTGTCTAGATTCTGGTGTGCAAGAGGATGGATTAACCAAAGCTGCCATCTTTCCATCCAAAGTCTAAGAGCTGGACACTCTGACCCCTCCCTCTCTCCTTAACAGTTGCAGATTTTAAAGTCATCGCAATTAGGAAAGGAATATGATAAGACAAGGAAATATCAAAGAAATAAATCAGTGAGAGGTTTTCTTAAATGCAGATCACAAATTCTAGCTCAATGAAACCAACAGGGCCAAATACCTTCTTAGATTGTGAAACCACATTTTTTATGTCACTCAAACCTAAAGGAAGTAAGGAAAAGTAAACTGTGGAAGGCTGATGAATGTGGTTTAGATCTCTATCTCAGGTTGCCAAGGACTGATACTTTCAAGCCCTGATTGATGAGATATACTGAAGCCGTGTACGTTTTTTATCAGCATGAACAGACACACAAGTGACTTTACTATGGAGAGGCATTAATCTCTTTATAATTTGTCTTCCATTAAAAAGCCCTCTTTTATCACCTCTATAGCTCTTGCTTGGAAAATTTGTGTGGCCTGAGAGTAGTTATATTTACTCTCAACATGAAGGAGAATGCTTGTGCAAACCTTGAAGAAAATTAATAAAGGTGTTTTGGAATCAGTCATTTAAAAAAATCACCATGCTTTGAAATTCTGATTTTTGGCTAACATTTTTGTCTAGCTGAAAAACAGCTTGTTACTCCCCTTTCAAACTTTCCATATACACCTCTACCTCAACATAACGCTGTCCTCGGGAGCCAAAAAATCTTACCGCATTATAGGTGAAACCGTGTTATATTGAACTTGCTTTGCTCCGCCGGAGCGCGGAGCCCCGCCCCACCGGAGCGCTGCTTTACCGCGTTATATCCAAATTCATGCTATATCAGGTCGCGTTATATCGGGGTAGAGGTGTAGTTAAATTCCCCTGAAAATTCATGCACCCACTTTGTTGAAGAAAGTGTAATTAAGCAAAGTTAGTAACAGTGTTTTGTTGTGCATCATGCATCCTGATCTTGCTCCCATTGATGTCACTCTGAGTAATAGGCCCAGTCCTGTTTTCATGGATGACAATAGGCATTTTTCATTGACTTCTGTTGCAGAGGGATTGCACATGATATATATAAGAGCATACTGCTCTATCAGCTTGCTGCAGCTTAGAAGGCGGACAAGGAGTTGCAACTAGGGTCCCATTGAAAGGCTGATTTTTGTATAAAAAAATAAATAAAAGATACATTATTAAGCTTTCAGTTTTTAAATTATTAAGTCTCATTGACAACTGGAACATTTTCTTTACATTTTGTGAATTGAGTGAGCATTTGTTAAGATTAAAAGACTTTAAAATCACTCCTTTTTAAAATGTTTGCAAGTTTCCAATCTGTCCAACTTTGTGCCTTCTGCCTGCCCAAGCAAGTAACGTTGCATCACAAAATGTGATACAAGAAGCAGTTTTCAAGGCCAAGAATAGTCAAATGTCTATGAAGTGCCCATTATTTCAAAATTATACCTGCTTCTGACAGTGAAGGCAACAGAGGGGAAAAAATCATGGCCACAAGCAATATTTTTCTTTTAAAAAGTGAAAAGAACGAGTCAAGTTACCTCTCCTTCCGCATCCTCTACAGGACCATTTTCCAAATGAGAGTAACAGAGTTTAAACAAGTTGCCAAAGGAGGCTTTTGGTGGATCCCAGAATATAGCGCTCCTCCCCCAGCTCTCTGAAATGGTAAAACCACGTCTTCTCACTAGACCACAGTACCTCTCCTACAGATTGCTTCAAGTCTCTGTACTTATGTCAAGTGTAAAATGGGCTACTAATGCTTAACCACCTTTGTAAGGTGTGTTGAGGTCTTAGGATGAACAAGTGCTTTGTAAATGCAAAACTTTGTTAGCCACGTTTTTTCAGATGGGGTAAGACAGACACAGAGGTTCAGTGAGGTGTCTAGCAGGCACTGCATCCTACTGGCTTAGCTGCTGCTTGTGCAATCAGGAGATGTGGTTTTCTATCCTTGGATCGGACATGTCATGTGCTATGACTCTTTAGCAGTGTTTGGAGTGAAGGTCAGGTGCACTGTACTTGTATGCATCACTAACATAGCTACCTAGTGAATGTGCCTAAGTTGTCAGGTCCACATGGAAGGAGGCAGGGCTGTCTCTGCAGGATGCATTGTTAGCTAGACCTGCACAACTCACTCCTTTATTTTAATAAGCAGGTGGCACATTCATCCCACTGATTTAAAACACTATCTTCATTTACCTGCACACAAGAGAAAATGAAAGGTTAAAAATAAACAAAACCTGGGTCATTCTGAAAACAAAAAAACTTCACTAAAAAAAGTCCCGTTAAGGATGCAAATTAGCACCAATGAACTGACCAAGCACATTTACAAAATCCAAGCATTTAAAAAGAAAGAAACAAATAGCTATGACAATCTTAAATCTTACACTGCCCACATAACAGACCCAATCCTACAATCAGATGCAGCAGGGCAAACCTTTCAGCTCACATGGAGCTCCATTGAAAGCAGTGGGGATCTGAACATATCTGATGTGAAAGATCTACACCACACACTATTTTCACAGATTCGAGTTATATTGATCCCCACCATCCCCTTCCTTTGGCCAGACCTACTTGTGACTGGTCATTCGCATATGCTATGCCCACCCCAACCAGTCTGTCTACCCACATGCCTTGAACATGTCAGGACCCTTGTACCTGCATGAGAATCAGGATGCAGTAGTTTTCACTCAGGAGGCTGGTGGTACCAACTTTAAGTTTTTCCAGACACCTTAGTATTTTGCCAAATGCAACCATAGGAGCAAAGCCCACTTTCTTAGCCATAGGGCTCTTTCTTTCTCACCCTTGAAGAGCAGCAGAGCTGGTTGAGGATATTGCAAATGCACAACTGTGACCACTTCTTCTCGTTCCAAGTGGCAAACTGTATTCTGGAGAGCTTTCACCGTCTGCCCTGCCATCCTCTCAGCCTCATCCTTGTCTCTGAGGAACTCCAGCATTGCCAGCATATAGCCCCTGACCTGTGTTGCCTTTCCTGAGTGGAAGACCAGGTTGCTAATTCCTCTAAATCTGAGCATAAGTATGATAAAATTTACATCTTTAATCCTCTCTTTCATGTGGCTCAGAACATCATCTCCTGATTGAGATCTTTCTGTGGACCAGACAAGGTCTCATCAAGGACAACTCTGGCCATGGTGTTCTGGTGCTTATGTTGACGACCTGGTGGAAATTCTCACTGAGCTCAGGCTTGCAGTGATTTCCCTGGGCTCTTGAGATCTTTACGACCTCACACCAACAGTCTATGGGACTGTTACAATGGTCTCCAAACACTGTGCTCATCAACATACAGCCACTCTTTCTCAGTGAACTCAAAGCCCTGGGGAAGTTCTCGCTAAAAAAGGGAAACAGATGCTTGCTTTGCCTTTGCCCTCCCCCTCCTTTTGACAAAATGAAGCCAAATCCAGTTTAGTTTATTTATTTTAAAAAGTTGCAGTTTTAAAGAGGTCCTGTAGGAAATCACATTTATTGGTTCATTGGCATTACACTTGCTGGGCAAAACTAATTTTTCAGTTTGGTGGCAGTTTTGGAAAAAAAAATTGGTTTGGGTCAAAGAATGTGAAATTTTTTGGAATTTTTGGTGAATTGAAAAAAAAAGAACCCACCGTGGGTCCCTTCCAAAGCAGGGATTTAAACCTCAATCTCCCACATCCCATGTGAGTGCCCCAACCACTGGACTAAAGAGCATAAGGGAGGGTGGCAATAGCAGCAGCAGCACCATCACCTTCTCTTCCTGCCATGGCCAAAATTATTGGTGTCACATTTGTGAATAGATTTGGGTTGATCAAAGCTGCATCTTTTGTTGAATAAACTATTAATAAAAAAAATTTCCATCCAGTGTGGAGTCATAAGTATACATGACTCACTCAGAGGGAAGGTTGCAGAAATGGGCTGATAGCATCTTTATGAGCGGAGGCCAGTTGGGCTAGAGATATTTGCTGAGGCAGCATGCTTAGTCCTGTGCAAAGTAGTGGCTTCACTTTCCTGTATCATCTTGTTGACAGACGAAATGCTGTTGACCAATCAGAGCTACATCTAGTTTCCTTTTGCCATGGGTGGGACTCAGCAATAGCCTAGAATCTTCCTTGCTCCCCCACTGCCCTTTATGAACAAGCAACTTTGAAGACAAAACTGGTGGTCACATACTTTACAATCATGACAGTTTATTTGCCACAGCATCACAAAACAGGATAGGATCAGTTACCATTTGTACCCAGTAGACTTACCATGCAGTTACCACATCATATTGTGACAGAATACTGGCGAGTTGTCATAGTTACTCGGGAAACTAACTTGTGATACGCTGAACCCGATGTACTCTTGTTTTAGTCAATATTATACACACATATCAGGCTATAGCTATAAGCTGAGTGGTATGTAGAAGCTATGGAACACTGAATATCGTTTCATTGTCAAATGATTTCTATGTTATAGAAAGTCTGTCAAACTGTTAGCTTTCAAATAACATTGTATACTTTTTTAAATTAAACTAAATACCCCTGCTAAAAAATCACCAAAATTAATCTGAATATGCCATTTGACTGACAAGTCAATTTGTTTCCAGAGAATTTGCTGCAAAATGAGGTTTTTCAATACATTTGCAGGAAAACTTGACAACCAGGCCACATTTCTTGGGGGCACTTTTGGTCAGCTTTTGCTGCTGCATGATGTTTTCAAGTCTCTTTGCTGTTTTCAAGGCGACCTGGTGCACCTCTGTGTGTGGGGGTGAGTGTACATATCTGTATGTATATTTATACATTTTCAGCACCAATCATCACACTACTTCCAGAAATGTTGCCACTATCTGATCTTTTTGAAAGGCCAGGCTGTAACCATTTATTATATGCTTTTCTTCATCAAATTTAGTTGAAGTCAAAACCCCCTTCCTAATTTCCCAGGTTTAAAAAAAAAAGTCCACCAGTACTGTTAAATAATCAGTCATCGTTCATGAATCCTTATGCAACTTGGAAAAGGCGGGGGAGGGCTTTTTGTTTGTTTTTAAATAAACTGCAGCTTCATGATTTAAAGCGTGTTGTTGCTCCTCTTGCACTGAAGTTCTACTGCAGACAGCAAGGATGAACTTGTTGTTCAACTGGGCCTTGTATTCTAGCGCAGAATAGATAATATATTGTACATTCCCAGCAAATGTATCAGTAATGATCTTGCTAAATGGTGCTACACCTTGGTAAGAAGGTGATTAAAAACTTACTTAAGGGCAAATAAAAATGTGCGTATTAGGAGTAATTTAACAGAATTAAAAAGGTACTATCCCAGTTTCTCAGTTACTAAAGAAAGAAATTGTGATATTTTTTCAACGAGTACCATAGAAAATGAAACTGCTTATATATTGTTTCTTGATCACTAAACATAATCTTGACAATAGAATGAAGCTCCTTTATAGCAAAATATTGTCCCAGTGCCCAAAGTTTATATGGTTATAACTGATATTTCTATACACTTTTCCCTATTAGACAATTTACTGTTATAAATGTTACTTATGAAGTTTCTAATTCAAAAGTGTAATGTTTTGAGCCCTCCATGTCAAAGTTGTAAGGTCACAGAATACAAGAACCTCAGCCACAAAATTGCTAATATTAATTTTATGTTATTTTAAACATTTAATAAATAAAATATTTTAAAACAGTTGTTATTATGCATTAATCTACTGGAGTTGCTGAGGAAAAGTTATTTATGAGCAATGGTGTTTTTCCATACGCCTCTTCTTCACCATTTCAAAACTTGGGGTGGAAAAGGGTAAGTTTTACATGGACTTAGCTCAAGCCCTCCACCTACAGGATTCAGGAGGCAAAAGGCAGCTAAAGGGACTATAAGGGGAGAGAGAATTTCTACATTTAGCTTGGGAAACAGCATGGTTTGGGATATAGACACATCCTCATTGTTTTTTTTCCTACATGGGTGCCCACCAGACACCCTTACACCTGGAAAGTGAAGGGGACATAGCTTCAGCAGGGGGTAAATGGTTGTTGCTCCACTGACAATTTCCACCGCCTGAGGATCTGCCCAAAGCAATCTTATGTTTAATTTATAAATTAAGGATCTGATTCTCAATTACGCTAGAGCCACTTTGCATCACTCTGGCAACTTAGTCAGTTTAAATATAATTTACTCCCACTTAAAGGGCTCCTTGTGAAAATGAGAATTAGTCTCTAAATATATGCCCAAAATTGCAGACAGACTTCTCTACATTAAAGCATTAAGTAAACTGCCACACTTAATCCAATAACAGGCGTAACCTGCCCCGCAAAAAGCCCAGAATACCTAGGGCAAGTGCAATGCTTGAACACAGCTTGAAGCGACTTCATGCTTATATTCTGACTCAATTGTAGCCAGTTAGAAATGGTGACGTAATAAGATGGACTATGAAATGTGCCCTACTAGAGATACAGAAGTGCTAGCAGGCAAGGGCCATTTTACATGCAAAACAGATCTCATAGGTTACTGAACTAGAGGCATCATTCTTAGGGTTGCCAGTTTAGGTTGGACGTATTCCTAGAAGTGCCATCACACGACAATCTTTAAATTAAAAATTAATCTTTAATGCCTGGAGATTCCAGGACAATCCTGGAGGGTTGGCCACCCTACTCATGCTGGAAAATCACCTTGACCTAGAATTTAGGGCCTCAAGGTCTCCAGGTGCCTAAACGAAAGATGCCAAAAGGTCTGGGTTCAGCAACAATCTTTTGTGAAGAGAAAGCTGACTCCCTCACTGGTCTGAAATGTGAGCAGAGGTCCAGATCCTTAAAGGTATTTAAGCTCCTAAATTCCACTGATTTCAATGGACGTTAGGAGCCTAAGTACCTTTGAGGGTCTGGGCCACAGAGACCTTCCCTATGTCATTTAAACTGTTCAAAATTAACTCTAGTGACTTATGGGGATCTGCCTTGAAAAAGTCTGGATTCTGAGAGAAATGTCATAGCATGTTAAGGGATTTCTATTTAAGAAACCCACAACCGGATATGGAATTCACGATTTCTCTATTTCCTGACATGGGCGAAGAGGAAGGGCTTGACCAAACATAGTAGAGCCAATTCCCTATACGGTGCAGGCTGTACTTTGTGTAAGCTTGCATGAATTGCACGGGGGCTATATGCAAAGTGATGATATATCAGCACACAAGCATTATACAGAGGGGGTGGTATATACATTAAAATTAACCTAGCAGAGAAAAAAAATAGACAGTGCATCTTTAAGTACAAAATTATCTTGTTTTTGAAATCAAACCCATGTTTAGTAACTGGAAACTATCAGAAAAAATAGTCATGATACAATAAAAAATGCTTTCCAACCGGCATTGTGTCTTGTGATCTTATCCTGTCCTTTGGATGCTTCTGCACACTGTATATGGTCTTTGAGGGAGGCATTTCCCTTTCTTACTAATCTGAGGGTGGGAAGCAGCTGAAGAACTTTCCCCATTATATCCTGATGTGTCATTATTTATATCCATCTTTTTCTCTCGCCCCCGGCCTCCGGTGAGTATCAGGGCCTCTATGTGCATACAAAGGTCTGTCCATATGAAGCCAGTTGCAGGTTCAAGGCCTAAAAAGATAAGCAGACAAAGGGATACAACTAGAGCTGTTTGGAAAAAGCCAATTATGATTTGCACACAAAAAATTAACACTTTTTAAAATTTCCTATTTCCCCCCCCCCCCCCCCCCCCAAAAAAACACCTGCTTTTTGTAAAATATTTCAGGTTTTGGTAAAAAGTTTTGATTTTCAAAATAAACA